GCCAGGCCGTATGATTTTCTCCGCATTCTACAGCCAGCTATATGATTTTCTGTAGCCTCCTTTAGCCGGCTATAAGAATTCTTATGGTATTTTGAAACGCAGCTCTTATCGCCAATTTTTACCAGGGTCCCGCGATCAGTGCCCACGCACATTTAGATTGAAAAGTAATTTAGCTTGAAAATTAGTTTTGAAAATTTAGTTTGAAAATTAATTAGTTTGAAAAGCATATATTAACAGTGCATAGTGAAAACTGGCCCTTCGCATGTGATCAGTGTTCCTGTTCCTTCACTTTTGCATCGGCTCCTTCAGTAAGACGTCATGCTCATAATGTCCACAAGGAGAATCAGAAGTTATCACTTGTTTTTGGTGCACGAGAAAATTTAAAACTGATGGAGACATGGTTGATCATATAGGAAATCCACAGCGATGAACTATATACCCTTCCCTCGCCTGTGCCCAGTGCTTAATGGGATCCAAATCACAGACAGAATTACGGTAATTGCATGTCGATGGCCGGAGTACAAAACCCCGTATCACCGTCGCAATGTCGCAGACATCCCATTATATGTTTTTTTTTTTTTTTTTTTTAACCTTCGCAAAACTGGTCAATGTAATCTCCTGAAAGTCTCCCCAAGTTTTTTTCTCCGTTTGTAGAATTTTCTGTAAGAATTTCAATGTTTGAAATTATGTCTTCTTTTTTTAAAAAAAAAATGTATTATAAGCGGAAAATTTTGAAACAAGGCAATGGAGGTACGTGATCCCGCACCTCGGCTGTCGATATCATGTTCATTTGCAGCACTGCAGCCTGATCGTTGAAATTTCGTGTTTGTCGGGTATAGACATAGATGACATAGGTTAAAAGGCGGAGCGTGATTGGTCGGCTATGTATTATCGCTGCTCTGTCGTGACTATGTCGGGTTGACCTCTCGACAAGCTAATGGCACCTTTAAAGTTTTCGATAGTATGTCTTCAAATTCCACCAGGCAAAGGCGCGATAAAACAGCGATAAGACATAGCCGACCAATCACACTCCGCCTTTTAACCTATGTCATCTCTGTCTACCCGAAAAGTGCAAAAACAATCAGGCTGCTGATCCACCCTGCGCGTGTGGTCAACGCTCAGCAATATTCAAAACGCATTTGATCATTTACTGACAAATCGTCGCCCTTCTGACATAAAGGCGTAACTGCATTTGGACTGCATTTTGCAATTTGGAGCTATAAATGCCGGCCCGGTTTAAAAACAACGTATGTGCCATTAGTTTCTCTATTCACATAAGTTTTTTTTTCAGATGAGCCAGAATTTATAGCTCCAAATTGCAAAATGCAGTCCATTTCTCGATGAGCCCTGTCATCCATTTAACTCAATGATTTCCCGGGCTCATCTCAAGCTGTAGTCACGCCCTTTTATCAGCCAAGCGACGAAATGTTGCAATGGATCACACGCAATTTCCGGGGAAATTGTGTGTGTCCTTTGTACCAAGTGTTCTGGGTTTTGGATTGCAGTGAGTGATGTCTCAATTGTCTCATAGACATCACAACATAAGAATCACATACAAAAACATAAATACTTCCGTTATACTCATCACCCCCATTATTTCGATTTCAATTAATCCATATTTATTTATTATTTAAATCTAAATAGTTTATAAAAACATTAATATGTGAAATTAAAGATAACTTTAAATATAAGCTTTTAGATTATTAAAAATGTTATTTTACCAGTATATTTAACTATTATTGTGCTGATGCCAGTTAACGTAATAATTTTTAAATTTCGGGGCCGTAGCTAAGTTCGGCCGGCTTCAGCTTTGACCCCGGGAAGTCGGCTACGCGTTTTAGGAGAGTATACATTCGCCGAGGTCTGATGTCCCAAGCACTCGGAGATTGGCCTGCTTAGTTGTGTTCAGTGCATTTTCGTGGTCACAAAGTTCGTGTGTTCATCCGTGTTCAATTAGTTCATACAGGGAATAAAGTGTGATCCCCATCACAGACGTGTCCCCTGTGCAGAGCTACGCTGCGCCCCCAAGGTAGACAGCACTGAAAAAAAATTCTCGGCGTTTTTACCAAGGTCCGTTGGTACTTTTACCATTTCACTTTTTTACGAATTATTGGTAATTTTACTAAGACAGACTGGTAAGCTTACCTAAAAACCGGTATTTTTACTGTTTTTTTTTCAGGTAAGAATACCACTTTTATTGGTAATCAATTCCCGGTAACTTTGCCATTTCATCTCGGTAATTCTACCACAGCCGGCAATAAAAAATATTGGCGTTTTTACCAAGCTCCAGTAAAATTACCGAGAAAGTTCAATAATTTTACCGAGATTTCTCGGTAGAATTACCAATTCCATAAATGGTGATTTTACCAAGAAAAAACTGGGATCAAATAGAACCCCGAATTATTGGTAATGTTACCCTTTTCCTAGTAAATACACCGAGATTCTTTTTTCAGTGAGGCTCGAGGCTCAGGGACCCAACACCCGACTCTGCCCGGGTCTATTACACATTCAAAAAAGACTCAAACCTCAAATTGAAAAAAGAATAAAAAATTGAGGAACAACAGAGTCGAGACGTAATCGGGCATTTTTAATTTTTCTCTCGAATCTGAGCGACACCTCACTGGCAGCCTAGAAAAGAGCATTGCGAGTTCACGCATAGCGCCATCGCGCCTTCAATTATGCAGACGCAACACAGACATCCATCAAGCACGAATAGTTGTATCACTGCGCCGTCTTTCCATTTGCTCTATTTCTGAATTGTGTTAGTTTCGTTTGTCTCATTTGTAGAAGCCGTGCTTCAAGGGTTACTTGAGCAACACCGCCGAAAATAGGATGTGCCCTAATCAAGTATCTTTTTGAAAAGAAAACACATGTTAGAGGTCTCTCAAGCGATCAAAAGGGCGCATACGTCTAAAAATTGACTGTACTGCCTCTTCTAAGAGAGTGACACATGGCGGATGAGGAAGGCGGGTGATAAAGCGTCTCTATGTTACCACATAGGTGGAAATTTCGAAGGAAATAATTTTTCACCAATTTTAAAAACTTTATGCATGGGTATTTTGTCACTGGACAAATATTCGAGAGCTATTTTGATGTCCTCACCTAATGACGCTCATCATCCCCTTTTCGAAAACTACGATCGAGGAAAATTTTCAATGTCTCAAAGCTAATTTTACGACGGACAGTGACCAATTTTTCGCGCAAAAGTGAAATTTAAAAGCGTAAAGCGTACCTAATAGCGGAATTTTGCACAATTTATTTAATCAAATGTCTGCTAGTGAGTGAAATAATTGGACGTATTTCTATCAAACGGAACTAAGCGCCCTAGGGGGAGGAGAGGAGAGGGGGGGGGCTTGGGTTGACGGGTGTTGCGGAACGCGATACGCGTTCCCAGAGTACCTATATTGAGAGAGTATGGCCACTGGAGTTACCACCTCTGATTGGCTCAGCCATCTTAGGCTGAATGGAGCCCTTAGGACCCAAAAATGGCGGACGCCATAAATTAATGTAATGCAAAATGACTCAAAATGTAGTTTTCTTTGCTTATCGTAACGAGAAATTTACTCAAATGCACTATTGCGACATCTTTACATATTTTTAAGGCTAATCGTGTGCAATTTTTGAGAAAAATTATCTTAGATGTAGTAAGGTTGGCAGCAAGTGCGGTCGGTGATAACCGTCAAAAGTTGGCAATGACCCCCCTCCCATCCACGAAAACCAAAACAAACAGAGACAAGAGACCCTCCACTAGTAACTTGGTTATGGTGGAAGCTTTTACATTCGGGACTTCAGCATTCTACTGTTGACTTGCCTACATGGTTGATGTTCAACAACGTGTTGGCAGTTTCGTTTTGCAAACAAGCCGAAAATGGCCGACGTTTGGGAAAGTTGTTTGGCTTATGACGTCATCCGAAGCTCATCATCGACCATGTAGGTAAGTCAACAGCCGAAAATATGGTGATGACTGTTGCTCGCTCATAATTGTCCATAAGGAATTGTTGAAACCCCGAAAGTAAAAGCTTCCACCTGTCTCTAGGAGGCCAGTGGAGGGTCTCTTGTCTCTGAAAACAAAGCACCGCCATTTTTGGGTCCTAAGCCTCTCCATGGGGCCCAGTGGCCATACTCTCTCAACATAGGTACTCTACGCGTTCCGTCACTATACTCGAGATGATTTTCCATGGCGCTTAGTTGTGTTTGACAGAACGCGCTGTCCGGGATTCTAAAATCCTCATAATGAACTCTTGGCGCTTAGTTCCGTTTAAGAGAAATGCGTCCAATTGTCATTCATTGCAGCTTGATTAAACCAGTGTGTCCCAATTTTTCACATTCTCCTCTTCAAAATATTGAGCTACGGATACAAAATCTGAATTCAGCTCGTAGCTCGTTGGATATAATCAACCGAACAATTTCTTAGAGTTTTTTGGAATAGTATTGACGATTTCAGGAAGAACAAAGAACTATTTCGGTGAAATTTTCCACTCTGACAATACTAGATCTATTTCCTCGTCCTCATTTGGGCAAATATGTTAGGAGTCTTAAAGTAGCACGTAAGTCTCTTACTATTTCAGAACTCTTTTTTTTTTTTTTTTTCTTTCAATATTTTTTTATGAATTACAAGTTGAAACCTCGACCTCTAGAGACAGGTGGAGACCTGGAAGGCCTAAAAAGTACATTCGAATGATAGATTTCTATTTTTATTACAATTTCAATTTTCATTGAAAAAGTATTCTTATTTATAGGTGTCGTGCAATTGAGCATTTTCCCGTTCATAAACCTGAATTGATTTCTTATCTCATCCTGTCGGCGCAAAACACTAACGTATGTGTTAGATATGTTTCATGTACACCTTAACTAGCCTTTTGAGTCTGAATTCTACTGTAACATATTGATTATTTTTTGATAAAACCGCCAGGGGAAAAATAGAGAGTATCAGTCTAACTTTTTAGGATCTTCTCCTACCTACCTTTTGTAATTATTGTTACCTATTTTCTCATTATTAGGGTTACAACAGTTGTGTCTCTGAATTAAGCTGCCCAAGGGGCAGTATTTTACAGAAGAAGACATTTTCGTAGTTTAATACTTAGAATTAGAACGTTTGTGTCCCTTAATATTATACTTCCAGTTTATACAGTTGAAGGGAGTAATTTTACAACGAGTGACTGCCGAACTCTTAATGCAGATGAAAGTGGAGGGTATGGATTCGATCGTCATGAATCGATCGAAAAAGAAAAACGAGAATCGATCGACGTGAATCAATTGGCACCGATTCGATCGAAAGTTAAGGTGATTCGACGGATGCCATCTTTTGTATCAGAGCGACGTGCTATATACCGCATTGATTAGTTCCATAATTTCTGCCGTTTGTCATTTTTTCAAATTTCTAGATCGCACCTCCGTTGTCATGAGACTACAGAGTTCATGCACCAAATTTAACAAAGAAATTCAACGTAATGACGGCATATATTTTTAGAGGAAAAATATCGCATTCGATACTAATATCGAAACTGCCCTCGAATGCGATATTTTTCTTCCCAAAAAATCCTGCCGTTATCACGTTGAATTTCTTTGTCAAATTTGGTACATGAATTCTGTAGTCTCATGACAACAGAAGTGCGATCTTAAAATTCGAAAAAAGGACAAGTAGCGGAAATAATGAAACTAATCGATACGATATATCGCACGTCGCTCTGACACAGAAAATGGCGTCCATTGAATCACCTTAATTTACAAAAACCCGTGTCGATTCAATCGACATGAATCGATTGAAAAATGAAAACGTGAATCGATCGACAACGGTGAATCGATCGAATTTTGTCGATCGATTGACGTTTTCATTATTTGATCGCTTCATGTCGATCGAATCGACACGGTTTTTTTTAAAATAACTGTCGATCGATTCACCTTTTCATTTTTTGATCGATTCATGTCAATCGAATCGACACTGGTTCTTTAATAATTTGTCGATCGAATCGATATCAATAATTGATTCACGTCGATCGATTCACGTTTTTGTTTTTAGATCGAGTCAAGTTGCTCGAATCGACACCGGTTTTTTAATAATTTGTCGATCGAATCGGTGTCCATCAATTCACGTTTTCATTTTTCCATCGATTTATGTCGAACGAATCCATACCTTCCCATGAGAATGGCTTGCTCGGTGCTATCCATTTTTCTTAAGATGAAGTTTTAGAGCAGTTTTAGGGGTTTAAAGTTTTGGGGGATCGAGTAACGCCTTAAGACGAATTTTGTTGTTACAAAAAAGCATCTTCGTCCGAGGATCCGGCTTCCATTTCATGGCTTTTTCTAATAATGCAGGTCTCTTGCGTCGGCAAATGCAGAGTTTGTTTCTGTTGCACGCACCACGTTGCAAATCGACGCACTCGGGCGGGTCCTGCAGAGAAGACGTCCTGGCCACCAAACCGAGGAATTTACAGTAGATGTTGCAGTACTCATTGATTTTTGTTGCGTCTTTGGACCTGGGCACGAAGTTCAGCACAACACATGGATCAAACATTTTCTGCACGAGGATAAATGTAGCATCCTGCAAATTCTAATTTAAAAAAAAAAAAAAAAAAAAAAAAAGACCTTTTAGACGTGTACCTAACGTATTCTGGCATCGGGAAATTAGGTAAATTTCAAAAAACATTCGTGACACCCAAGAATGCGATGGGGCATCATCTTCGATTTAAACCATTAGTGGGTAGAGAGCTAGAGGAATATATTTAATGATATTTTATATAATATATTATAATAATTATAAAAGGAGAAACAAGCGGCATCGCGGTTTAAAATTTTCACAGAATATTCTTCATATAATGAAATTACCGATGTTTTCCAAAATTGACGTTCAATAGTTTTCTGTCGAAGAAAATAAATTATGACGGGAGGTCCTTATCGCCACAAACCGAGATACGCACCTCTGCAGTGTCATCAACGATGTACCTGCAGCATTAGCACCTTCTCCACACTTTGCCTTGACAAAGTCATTTAAAGCATCGGATTCAGAATCTCTCTTTCGAAAATGTGTTTCAAGGCATCGCCACCTTCCGGCCAAAGTGTCACATCGAGCGCCATGCGACATTTAAAAATTTCCGCCGCCATTTTATTTTACTACAGGGAAATTGTTCGACGAAGCTGTCCGAAAATGACACTGAATTTTCCTTGTGCTGCCGATAAAATTTAGTGAAATTTTCAAACAGATTCAACCGACAATTCGTCTGTGAAAAAAATAAAATCGTGTCGGAAATTTTGAAACGTCGCATGGCGCTTGTGATACTTTGACCGGAAGGTGACGAAATTTTGAGGATATCAAAGAAGATATATGGTAAGAAGGTCATACCTGAGAATTTCTCACCGCATCAGTCGTTCCTTCACCGTTTCTTTTTTCAGTCGGCTGTGGTTTTTTTCGTCCAATCGATCCAAATCGGAGGAGTTTTGGAAGTCTTCTCCTGTGATTTGATTTGGCGTTGACCGTAGCTTGCAAAATATATTTCAAAACAGTAACGAAGCCTTCCATATAGTCCTTTGCTACATCCGGTGTGTCAGTGAACGCCTTCATGTCATTCAATCCGTAATAATTGAGCGTCTTGGATATCAACATATCCCTCGTTGGGACATCCATACCTTAAAACGATTGTTTCTGCACTCATTGATATGAAGTCAGTTTTGGTTTGATCTTTTTTTAAATTTGGCTACATTTGAATTGAGTTTAGCAGAGAGAAGCTAAATTTTTCGCTTCATTTTCTATTTTTAACCATTTGTTTGATTTTATTTCCTTGGCAGGGGTGGATTCTTTTGTGAGCGTATCCAAAACATGACCCCTTTTTTGAAAAATTAAAAAAATAAAAATGTGCCTTCTTAGTTCGATGTCTGTTTGATTTTACTGTTGATTTTTATGTAAAAGTTCACGAGAAAAACGATAGTGCCACTGGTTTTCTCTGAAATCAACTCCCAAGCTCAAAAAAAGCTCTCAAGTTGAGGCCAAAATGGAGGGGATATCCCACGCTATCCTGAGAGTCCACCTCTACATCAAGACAAACTCTCCATGCAAAGATAGGGAGCAAATATACATTGACAGTGCTGCCACTTTATTTGGGGACTCTAAAACTGCAAACACGGCAACCCCGCTAATGTATTTGCTCCCTATCTTTGCACTGAGAGTTTGTCTTGATGGAGAGGTGGACTCTCAGGATAGCGTGGGATATCCCCTCCATTTTGTATTCAACTTGAGAGCTTTTTTTTGAGCTTGGGATTTGATTTCAGAGAAAACCAATGGCACCATCGTGTTTCTCGCAAACTTTTACATAAGAATCAACAGTCAAATCGCAAATTTCTCACACATGCAACATCTTCATTGGACTTTACATGTCCCCTTACCTTGTGGAAAGTATGGAGTCAGATGTTTGGTGAGTAACGATTTCAGTCGTTCAAGATCATTTGTGTGCGCGAACATCTCAAAAATCGACCCCTTTGTTGGTCCCATAGGCCTGGGAAATTCATCCCCAACCGTCAAATGGGGCAAGTTCGGCCCCAATTGGAAAAGACCGTCGATAATAATCCTTGCATCAGGTATAATATACTTAGGGGCCCACGTCCTGTAAAAGTTGACGCTCGCATACACAACATTTTTATCAATCTCTGAGGCCAAGGTATCGCAGAGGTAGAAGAACTGAAATTTGGACGAATCACAGAATTTTAGAATTTGCACTTGTTTTATTCTTCTTTTTGCAGCAAATTATTATTCCCACACGGGAAAAAAAATTGCTGATTCAACAACTCAATTGCTAAAAACAGTGAGTGCAATGTTTCAACGCAGATTTTACAACAAAAAAATGCTACTTTAACCACATTGTATACTAATTTAACCACATTGTAAACTAATTCAACCACGGGGGTGGCTAAAGTAGCATTTTTTTGTTGTACAATCTGCGTTGAAACATTGCACTCACTGTTTTTAGCAATTAAATTGTTGAATCAGCAATTTTTTTTCCGTGCAGTTTAGGAGCTGTTCATAAATGTACAAGTTGCGAACTTCAGCCAGAGCTAAGAAAGGGGTTATTTCTCGTAGAAAACGGTTCAAAAATCACGGTGAGCGCGTTGGGAAAGTCTGAAACACACTCCTAACTCCATAATCTGCGAAAGAAATATGCGTTTTTGTTTTTAAACTTCACGTTCTAAAAACGATACTACGGCACAGTTGAACATTTCGTAAGAGGTGCTGTCCCCGTCTCATCCAACCCTTGCTGACGAAGATGCTACACAATATTAAACATGGCCACGCCAACCCTCAGAGACACACGTGACGAGGCGGGATTTTATCAACCGGCGCACAGTGGATCGAGTCAATTAGATAAGTCGGCCATGAAATTTTTGACTAAAACTGCAATTTTTTATGTCTATTTCGTCCCATTTTAGACTTTAAGGGGTGCTTCTTAAAGAAAATTTCACGAGAAAACCAATGAAGCCACTTATAGAACTTCAAAGTCTTGTACAAACGGAATTATAAGCGTCTAAAGTTTCCAAATTTTGTCCGACTTCTGCTATTGACTCGATCCATTGTGCGGCGACCGGCGTGTTTACATTTACATTTGGACCGCGTTAAACAGAAAGGAACCAAGCCACATCAGCTATTGCCAAATTTAACAAGGGAATTTTATTTTTTGAGAGAGAACGTTTGTGCGGATTCCTTTGAAAATTTTAGGGGATTTGCTTTGTATTATGGAGAAAATTCATAGAAATTTGCACAAAAATCCGCACAACCGTTTTCATGTAAAAAATTAAATTGCCCGATTAAATTTGGCAATAGCTGATGTGGCTTGGTTCCTTTCTGTTTAACGCGGTCCATTTTCCTTTCCTTGATACAGACCTCTATACTATGAAGACTCACGACTTGCGCGCGGAAGCGTCAGCCATGTTGAATTTTGCGGAGTATCCTGGTGCGTAAAGGGTTGGTTGGACTCCTCTACATATTGTTCACCTGTGTCGGAGTATCGATTTTTAAGCGGGAAGCTTTAAAAGACGTAAATTACTCACGCAGATTGCGAAGATAGGAGTGTATTTCAGACTTTCCCGTTGCGCTCATCGTGATTTCTGAGCCATTTTCTATTCCAGGAACCTCTTCTTTTTGCCCCTCTAAATGTTTGCAACAGGCCCATCACATGACGTCACGTATTATACTGACTGATACGTCATCCTCCTGACAGGACATAACTACACTGTCGTGCTGAGAGAGAACGCCGCACAGTGGATCGAGTCAATTGGAGAGGTCGGACATGGAATTTTTGACTATAAATCACAAATTTTGATGTTTATTTCGTCACATTTTAAATTTTAAGGGGAGTTTCTAGAAGAAAATTTCACGAGGAAACCAATGAAACCATTGTTAGAACCTCAAAATTTCGTATAAACGGAGTTATAGGCTTTTGAAGTTTCCAAATTTTGTCCGACCTCCCTCATTGACTCGATCCACCGTGCGCCGTATGAACGTCCAAGAGTTGCCAAATTTCTTTTGATAAAATTTTTACTTCTGAGGAAATTTATGAATATTTTCCCTTGAAAGTTTCAGGAACTTTAGGTGAAATTACAAACAGCATCATCGGAAAAATTGGAAGTTCTATAAGTTTACCAGGAAATAATAAGTGTTTTATAAATGGAAATTTGGCAACGCCTGAAGGCTCATACGGCGTTTTTCCTTAGCACGGCAGTACACTTCGCGATGAACTCTATCGTCCATATATCTCAATATCTTCCCGGGCTCATCTCAAAGTGCAGGTACACCCTTTTGTTAGCCGAGCGATTGCTGACTTTGAAGACATTCCGTCCCTCCACCACAGCGTTTCAAAGAAGTCTTGAAAGTGTCAGTGTTAAATAAAATCGAGTTAGTATGGGTTGCTCCAAAAACAGTCGAAAAGTATGGTAAGGAAAGTGTAACTTTTTATTTTATGTGTCAAAAATGAAATAAAATTACGTGAGGAAAATAAAGAAGAGAATTTTTCTATAAATAAATAAAATCAAATGAAAATTTCTTAGGATGACAAAAAAAAAAATAAAAATCAAGAATAGTGTGAATCAAGTAATAGTGTATCGCTGACTTTGGCCATTGGCCAATCCGAATTAATGTTCATACCAGAGATGCTCAGTTTTCAAAAAAAAAAAAAAAAAAAAAAAAAATTAAATGATAAATGTAAAACTAAGAAACTAAGAAAAATAATAAAAGAACAAAATAAAAAAAGAAGATAGAGAAATTAACTACACATAAAACAAATTTAAATCCTCTTTCTCGCAGAATTGAAAAAAAAAAAAAAAAAAAAAAAAAAACAGTAGAGAAAAAAAGTATTTTCTGCACGCCGATTGTTGAAATTGATAGACGAAGCTATAGATAGGACACAACAGAAGTATGGAGGGATTCTATTGGTGGAGGTGATTGTTTGCAGTGGACACACGAAGTAGGTAATAGACTAACTAACGGCAACCCACGAGCGACCCTACAGATGATAGTCCAACATTTACCCCCTTAGTCTAGAACAACCACCAGTTTCGACGAATAGGATTGCTCCGTACTGCCTGTCTTCTATATGTATCGCTTTGTCTATCAATTTCAACATTCCGCCGTGGATCTCCACTCGATTATGACGATCACTATATATACCATAAAACAAAATTTAAAACGCGGGTAACAAGGCTATAATTTCACGAATAAAACCAAAACGTTTTGGCTGAAAATTCAGCCATCCTCAGTTGGATAAATAAAAAGAAAAATGGCAAAAAATCTAAAATAGTACCTGGATGTACCTTTCAAAGCGAGAGTGTTGTTACCCTGGTACAAATTGGCGATAAGAGCTGCGTTTCAAAATACCATAGGAATTCTTATAGCCGGCTAAAGAAGGCTATAGAAAATTATATAGCTGGCTGTAGAATGCGGAGAAAATCATACGGCCGGGCTTTACGGAGCGATAAAAAATTATGCAGCCGGGCTATAGTTACTATAGCCGGGCCTTACACTTTATCGCCTGGCTGTTGTTTTTTCGCCATCGATTATGAAAGGCTATAAGAAATTGTGTAGAAATTTGTGTGCTTCGGAAATCATTAAGTTTGATACGGGACCACCTTAATATTTACAAAACACACGTTATATTTTCCTTTAATACATATTTTTTTTCATCAATTAAAACGAGAATAATCATACAGGATGTGCGAACATTTCAAAATCATGAGTTGAGTAACGCTGACTCCGCCAGATTATATGTTAGAGCCTAACACAAAGCGGAGCGTCGACGCCTTGGCGCCTGCAAACCTAACGGGGATACTTCACGCATTGCGCAACGCGTGAAGTATCCCTGTTAGGTTTGTAGGCGCCAATACGCGTTTCGCGCTGGCTGCCCGCCTGCCGCACCGCAGCGTGCCACGGCGTCTGAAGCAACTATTTCACACCAGAGGTATTGCACAGTATCATACGAAACTGAAGGCGCTCTAATATATTAGGAATGGCAGGCATCCATCAAAAGTACGGAGCTTTCCTCGCAAAATAAATCAAGATACTACGGCCCAAAAAGAAAGCAGTGGTCCAAAAACTCACTAAGTCCTAGCATCCGTAATTAGTGACGTTTAGCATACACTTTATCGCCTGGCTGTGAGTTGCCTAATCGCCATCGGCTATAAAAAGCTATGAGAAATTTTGTAGCCGGCTATAGAAGCTATTGGAAATCTTACAGCCGGCCGTAGGTCTATGGTATTTTGGAACACAGATTCTACTGCCAATTTTTACCAGGCATTCAATAACATTGTAGATAACAAAATTTCTCGCTTTGAAAGGTACAGCCAGGTACTATTTTAGATTTTTCACCCTTTTTCTTTTTATTTATCCAACGGAGGATGGCTGAATTTTCAGCCGAAGGGTTTTGGTTTTATTCGTGAAATTTTAGCCTTCTTGCCCGTTTTTTAAATCGTGTTTTTTAATTGTATTACTTGTTCAAGGGCAACGGAGTGTCTATCACATCTCATATAAATACCAAAGTTTGTCTTTGTGTGATTCCCGCAGTGAGCGTGCATTGGTACAGGGTTACTTGCCCGGCCTCGTGTTGCTCGACAGTGGTCACGGGGCTGGCCATCTCAATATACTTGTATGCATTGACGAACAAATTGAAGCTCAGTAATGCGGCAATAGTAAATCGAATCGCCGCCAAAGTCATCTGTATCAACATTTAAAAAAATTCATGAAAAAAAGAAACAACAAGCAAAAAAACTCCAACACAGTGCGTTGATATGGCGCAGCATTGTTCCATGTGTTGGACTGATGATAGGTCGAAATGTCCAAAAACAAATGTCCAGAGTAAAAAAATGTCGTCAAAAACGTAACGTCGCCAAAATTAAAAATGCCCAAATGTCCGGTTACTGCTAGTCATAATGGACCACTAGACAAGGTACGAATTTTAGCATTCTGATACATGTTTCTTAACCAAAATTTCACGTAGAACACGATACGCACAACGAAAATTACCAAAATCAACTCCTGACGAAGATATTTAATGATTCTTGATGCGTGAATTCAAACCACCCGCTCATGAAAACTCAATGCTTTACGTGATTCACATCGCGCGCTAAACGTTATCATGACAGTCTCTGCGCGATGTAAAAATCTGGCAACCTCAATCTGGATGCTTTGGTTCAGCTATAGCAAATTGCCTATAGTTCGAACAACACATGGTGGGAAATGAATATTGCTCGATTAAGAAACTTGCTGAGTCGGTTGTCGTGCGCGATTTGACTCACGTAGAGCTTTGAGTTTCTTGTGAACGGGCAGTTCAAATTCCTCGTAACCAATGTGAAATGAAAAGGTTAATATCTTCGTTAGGAGTTGGTTTCAGTAATTTTCGTTGCGCGAATCGTGTTCTACGTAAAATTTTGGTTAAGAAACATGTACCGGAATGCTTAAATTCGTACCTTGTCTAGTGATCCATTGATATTGCCATTTACCTGTTGGTAGAAATTCTTCATACTTTCTCTTCACTTCCGTCTTGCGACTCGTTGCTAACTCGAGCATAATATGCTGTATTCCCCTAGGATATCGTGGAATATCGTCTTCATCTTTAGATTCTTGATACCGCTGGACGCTCGAGGATTCTGTCCTGGTTTGATTATACCCTCATTTGTTCTCGACTTTTCTGAAATCGCTCAATGCTTAGTATGTGTATATGACCCAAGTCCAGTCACAGGTTAGGAAAACTCTATATCACTGCTTCTTCATTATCCCAATGGATATTGATGTAGGAATAAGCTTCCAGCTAAAGCTCCGTATGTTGCCCCTTGGTCAAATTATTTCACATTTGAGCATTTTTGTTTTTGGCCATAATACCGCTATTGGACATTCCAGATATTTGGACTTGTCTTAGATATGGACTTTTTTTGACTTTGGACATTTATCCTTGGCCATTTTGTCCTATTACCGTTGGGCTTATTAGTTTTAACTTATAGAGATGACATGAGGTGAAGAGCACGCAAGAAAATTGCATAGCTGCAATTTACGACGTCTCAAACGACACTTAGGATATGTATACTTTCCCTTTGAATAAAACATTAAATTAATATTAATAAACATGAAAGGGGGACTTGTCTTGCGAAATCAACTCGATATATGTGATGATGATTTTGCTGTTCCCATATAACGTGTGTCGAAATTCTCCACTGGTTTGTGTTCACATAGTTCCATTTCAAAATGACAATTGATTTCGACATGCCATACCATATCTTGGGCAAGCTTAACCTTAATTTATCTCTAAATTAAAAAATAAGAGGCATCTAAAGTGCAAACGCGATACAACTATTCGCGCAAGATGGATGTCCACATTGCATACGAAAAATATAAGACGCGATGGCGTGAGTCGTGAACTCGCAATGCTCTACTCTATGCTACTAGTTTGGAGCACCATTACGAATAAGACAAACGGAAACAAACAAAATTTGGAAATAAAGCTAGGGAAAGGATGCGCGTTCACGACGGCGCAGAGATACAACTATTCGTACTTGATGGACGTCCGTGCTGCATCTGAAAAATTGAAGTAGCGATGACGCGAAGCGTGAGCTCTCGATGCTCTCCTATATGCTGTCAATGAGGTGCCTTCCGGGGCTAGTGTGGAAAGTAAGATACGCCCTTACGCCAGAAGAGCGCACTGGAAAAAAAAATTCTCGAGATATAATATTGACCTAAAGCGTCGTTTCTTGTCGACAAACTTTGTTGTTGGTTTTTTTTTAGTCAAAGAAACGTTGTTTTTTCATCGTTTTTTAACTTAAACTTAACGATAGCAAAACGATGCTTATTCAAGTCAAAAAACCAAATTTTGTCGACAAGAAACGACGCTTTAAGTCAAAATAACAGCTTTAGAAAAAAAAATGTAAGGGCGATCCCCGCTGAGGATTCTATCTACGAAAACGGCGCACGGTGGATCGAGTTAATTACGGAGGTCGGACATGTATTTTTTTACTAAGACTGCAAATTTAGATGATTATTTCGTAAAATTTGGAGGTTTGAGGGGTGCTAATTATGGTAAATTTTACGAGAAAACCAATGGGGTCACTTTTAAAACCTCCACGTTTTGTAATAATGTAGTTACGAGCTTTGAAAGTTTCCAAATTTTGTCCGACCTGTCTAGTTAACTCGGTCCATTGTGTGGCGTGTAAGGATGTCATATGTCAGTGGCGAGGCGTGAATGATCGATTTATCGATATTTCCTCATTTGCTTCTATGGTAAAGAATCGATTATTAAGGTGTTCGTTGCAAACACCCTGTTTATCGATCCTTTTCCATGGGTTTAAATGACAGATCAATCAATTTATCGCAAAGCACGCCACGTCACTAAAGGATTTAGCATGATGAACCGACTAATAGCTGCAATAAAAGCATGAAACTTACGGTGAGTAACAAAGAATATGTATAATTCAGAAACAATAACTAACATCCTTGATAATAATTGGTACTCATTAAATCATTGCTTTACCTGAGTAAATGAAGTAAGATTCCCGCATCAAGGAGCAACCCCTCTGGAAAAAGTCAATTTGATCTCGGCGATAGCAAGTAAAAGCTGAGTTGCACTTGCGACGATTAGAATTCCAGGCACACGTTCTAGTGCTTGCTGTGACGCAGAATTGGGGTTTTTTTCCCGGAAAACTCATCGATAGACATGATGACTTGTGCACGAACTGATTTTTTTTCTTCATGGTTTGGCCTCGGTTAGCTTTGTGGCACGCAACCTGTTAACACTTGCGCCACTCGAACCATTAGTACTTATGCTTTATAAAAACACGTGTCATTTCTGATGATACATGTTACTGACATGAAAAATCATCACCGGCGCACAGTGTGTCAAAACCCCAATCTAGCCGCTCAAAACCCCCCTTATATCAAGTCAAGAAATGGTGTTATTTATGGTCAGAGCGGGTCCACAGGCACCCACTCGTTACGTATCTATCGTGGTTATCACCAAAATAAATATTTTGGTCTCTAAAATGATACACCGAAAAAAATAATATGCTGTTTTAGCACCTAGGATGTTAAAAATGTGTCTGGTGATCCGGAGTTGTTGTCTTTACTGCCCTCGCAGTTAACTTTACATCCTGTGAATGCAACTTTAACTCTGTAGGCGGTTAAGGCAGCATCTTGAGATCACCAGACACATTTTTAACATCCTAGGTGCTAAAACAGCATACTATTTTTTTCGGTGTAGGGATTGCGGCCGGTAAACGTCCCGCCTCAATCTCGCCATCAGGAGTGGTGCGCCTGTATTGCTTTTTTTTAGAGTACTTCGTGGCGAAAAAGTGTCATTTCTGGATGAAACAAGATGCCAAAGGCCAGAGAAAGGAAATATGACCGTTGATTTCTCCAAAATCAATATTTAAGTATTATAATTTCTCATTGAAAGCAGTGCACAAGACTGTTTACTTTTCCTGGCTTTAGTAGAGCCGCAAAAGTGACGCACCACACGGAACGGCATGAAACTTACATGAGAGTGTTCAGAAAAATATCCAGATGTGATATATCTTTAGTTTTACTGCAACCTTCCGCAACCTTGAGAATGAGAGCACATTCTATTCGGCGATTCCTGGTGTAAAAGCGTGCGGGCGGCGTTATGCGATCTCCCCCTCCCACAGGCTGTCACAGGTAAATTGGGCTGCATTTTGCAATTAGGATAGGAACTACAAATTCCGGCCCGGTTTAAAAAGAAGATATGTGCCATTAGTTTCTCTATGCACATAGGTGTTTTTTCAGATGAGCCAGCATTTATAAATCCAAACTGCAAAATGCAGTCCAATTGAGACGGAGCGGAGGCAGCATCTCACCACGCGCGCTCGGTTCCCTGAATCGGGTGAACTTTATCATGAAGTTTTTCCACAAAACGAGTAAGAACGTAACAAGTTTCTTGTATGATTTGAAACGAATTGAAAACTAAGAAACAATATTATTTTCCTAATAATTAACTGCTATAATAATTCATATTTGCTCTATTCCTTCACTACCCAATGTACCAGGTTGGAACAAATTTCAGGGTCGCAAAAAATTCCCATTTTACAGTGTTGGAAATTGTTGCAACATTACGAACACCAAAAGTTAATTTGTATCAATTAAATTACAATTTAAGGTGTATTTCAGGTTGCAAATTTTCAGAGCTGATGTTTAATGATTCTTATTACACGAAGAAAAATAATGCACTCTTTTATTGAAGTGGTACGTGAATTTTGCTGATTGTAAAAAACTGTAGGTACCTAGCTAAATGGGGGAAAATGTTGATTGGTTGAAGTTGAAATGAACTAAAGCGCAATTTTTTCGTGCATTGTGCTATTTGGAGTAGTATTGTCCTAGAGCAGACTTTCTTTTTTATTTCTAATGAAGAGATAAGAGACCTACCGAGAAAGCACGCCGATTGATCGCCGAGAAAACCCAGGGCCTCATCGGGGTGGGGGTGCTTTCTATGAGTAATTTCAACGCTTCAGTTGAGCCGACGACGCTAGTGCAAGTTTCAACGTTTCAAAGAAATGTTTTGAGTCTGAAAAGACATATTGTTTCATGTAATATTTTCGTTGAAGGGGAGTGCTCCTCCCCTTTTTTCCAGAATTGTAAAACTCAGGTATATTAACATTAATACATAACTATACTTTGTCCTTCATTCATGTGATTCCTGCAAATCCTCACATTCTTAGTGTTTTCATTACTGAAGAAGAATTCAAAATGTTAAAAAAGTTAATAATATTGATTACAGGAACATTGAAAGAATGCTCGATTATCGTTACAATGAATTCAGTGTGTATAGTTGAGGAAATTATCTTAAAATTACACCATACATAATATGGATTTTCAAAATTTTCCGGGGGAGGGGCTCAGAAAAATAATTATCATCCCTTGAACCTCTAGCTAGGTCGACACTCCCCCGAACAACGCGGAATATGATTGTGTGCCTTACTTTCAGAGTTTTGAGATGCTCCTATAATTAAAGTCAGCCTGGCAGCCCGATTGTTGAAATTTATGTCGGCACGACTAGAATCGAAAATCGATATATTACACGGCGCAGATAGGGCTATATGTCTTGTGCCGAAATAGCCAGTTGAAGTTTCAACAACCCGGCTGCTGCAGTCGAACATTATTATCCTTTGGACTCGTTGAAAATTTATGAGGAGGCTGAATTCGACCGTATACCGATTCAAGATTGGAATCAGGTTTTACCAGAATGCTGCCATGCGAATTAGAGGAAAGCCGAATGAGGCTGTAGATGTTATCAAATTTCCCTTGATTAAATATGAATTTTCGGGGAAATCTGTGAAGATTTATCCTCTCGTTTTTCAGAGAATTTTCTTCGCAATCAGATCTAAATTATCTAAAAATTTCAAACAAAATAATGAAAAAATTCTCATGATGCACCCTACTAATTATGTATCGAGGATATTTTGATTCCTTCCAACAAGGAAAACTATTTTATTGGCGGTTCTTCGTTGAGCTGAGGAAAAAAAAATCGTTGCGTCAAGGAAACGACTTACAGCCACAAGTAGAGTTCTTTATTTAAGTGACGAAACCCCCAACAACGATAACGATTTGTGTATACATCTTAGATCTAATTCAATTATTTTGAATGAAATGTGAGTGTGAAAAAACAGTGTGACATTTAATGAGCGAGAGAAGAGAGGTAAGTACATTTTGATTTGGATTAGTTAACAGGAGTAACTTAGAAGGAAGACTTGAACGGCAGGAAATAAATTATAAAATAATTGAAGATTTGTGTTTGTATAAAGTACATAAGTCGTTTACTTCGAGAGAGACCCCACAAGATTATTCGAAAAATCTGGCATCATTGTTTACGGTGTGATCACAGAACAGATAAGGTGCGAGCAAATCGTCAAAATTCGGAAGCCGGCCGGAGGCTAGCTCGCGAGCCCCTCTGGCGGCGGGAAGCTACCCTCTGCAAAACTGATCACTGCCACGGCCGCCCGAGACTGAGAGCGAGTCTGTCCTTGAAAAGATTCGGCCAGCCAGCGTCGCTCACTCCTCACTTGAGTCGCATTCGGTGAACGTCTCGGGTCGCGCACGCGTCGGCCGCCGTGGCTCCCCAACATCCCTTCACAATTAATAGAGTTTCCTTTGAGTTTTCTTCTCATTTGTCGGTAATTAAGTCCCGTGTGTATCTTTACGAAGTGTGTCTATAATCTGTGCCGTGTTTAACGCTTCTGTTTCTTGAATTCATTCACCATGCCTCGAGGTTTCTTCTGTACACGCGTTCGGAAGTTCGGAACTGCATCGCGCGATTCGCCTTCCGTCTCGTCATGTTTTTCATTTTGATCGCATCGTTTTGTATCTCGTCGTGCAATTAAATCGTGCGGAAATTCGGTTAATTGTGGTGTGATTTCGTCAGCGTTGTTTTGTATTTCGTCGTGCAATTAAATCGTGCGGAAATTCGGTTTGTCGTGGTGTGATTTCGTTTCGACATGTGGACATTTCGCGTCGGTTTCTCAAAGCGAAGCTTTTCAACTTCACGCAGAACTGAATCTTGTGATGGGCTCTCTCGATGGGAAATTTTGGCTACTACTGCTTCTGTTTATCACGGTTTGGTCTGTGATCGAGGTTTGAGATAATTTACTTACTTCTGATTTAAAGTCTGCCCAACTAAGGTGTAAATATGTATTACTTGTCATGTGATCTACCCTTGTGATTTTCCTGTTTCTTTCTCGCTTCAGTCATTCCTCTTCTTTCATACTCGCAACCCAATGAAAGGAAAGTTTGCTAAGTTTTTAAATGGAGAGGCTTGGAGGACAAAGCGCACAGAAATTTTTTGAATTTTTTCTATTCAAAGAAATATACGTGTTTCTAGTTTCAAAATATCGTGGGGCCTAATGGCGAAAAGGAAGTTCAAACTCACTTTCTGATGCTTTAAAGTTGGATTTTAGTTGTGAATTTTCTAACAATATGCCTACTCTCAAATTAGATTCAGATGAATTTATGAATATCTCAATTTTTTCAAAAACTGTTCTGAATGAGCCTTGGCCTCCAAGCCCTTCCATGAATATTTTTGTACCTTCTCATTTCAGGTTGCCAATATAGACTCACCACGCTACCTTTCTCTCATCTGAGAATTCCTAGGTTGTTCGATGGAAATAATATGAATTTTTCATTGACATTGTGTCTTACATTTGTACCTTCAGATGATGATTTCGGGCAAGTTTTGTCTGCTTTGAAAAGTGTAGGAAAAAACTACAAAAAACCCCAAAAAACTTTCAGATTCTAAGGGGTAAAGAATCCGGCCAAAGTCTTAAACTTGTTGAACCAAATTTTCTTATTACTGCTAAAGGAAAATAAAAAATTATACTTTACTGAAAATCGAATGTGGGCCCCTTCATAAACGAGTGATACAACATTCACTGCATGTGTGTATGTGAACCTCTTGTAGTTTTGTAGGAGCCCAAGCGGTTCGTTCGCTCTTTCCAACAAACGCTACATTCGTGAATGGAAAGTCCTTGAAGGAGCACATAACGTCCTTTTTCTTTCTTTAACTTTTGCATTTTTTATTCAGAATCTTCGTAAAATCAAAAAGAAAAGTATGGACTGATCTGAGCCTTATATGTGCTCTAAAACAATATGAAATATTTTATCGCACAAAGT